AATAACAAGGATATAGTTATCACAAAGTCAGACAAAGGAAATGCAACAGTGGTATTAGACAAATCAGACTATTTGGACAAGGTAAATACTCACATACAAACAGGACCATATGAGGAAATTAATAAACCAATAGATACAGTTATGAATAAAGTTAAGAAATCCACAGCGGATCTTATACGCCGAATGAAGCCGTTTCTAGGTGAGTCTAAGTGGTTTAATTTAATGCCCAAAACTAATAATCCCAGTAGGATGTATGGTGTTGTTAAAGTTCATAAGTCAGGATACCCTATTAGGCCTATAGTTGATTTTAGAAATTCACCTACTTATGAATTATCTAAATATTTAGCCATGGTATTAAATCCCTTAAAAATCCACTCGAAATCTAGACTAACTAATTCTTATGAACTAAAACATAGATTAGATAATTTAAAATTAGATAATGAAGAAAAAATGGTTAGTTTTGATATTGTCAGTTTATACACACGTATACCAATAAATATGGCTATAGAGGCAGTCAGAAACGAACTCATTTCTGACCAAGACCTCGAACTTAGGACAAAAGTGCCACTTGAGGACATAATGCTGGGAGTACAACTATGCCTGACTTCCACAGTATTTAAATTCCAAGGGAAAATATACAAACAAACTGAGGGAGTTGCCATGGGATCACCAATATCCCCAGTGGTAGCAGATATATTCATGAATAAGTGGGAAAGCATAGCGATTGAAACGTTCACCCCCACCCCAAAAGTATGGTGGAGGTACGTAGATGACACATTCACTGTACTTAGAACACAAGATATAGATAGGTTTTTCGAACACATAAACTCGAAGGTTGAGGCAATTCAATTCACTTATGAATTGGAAAATCAGGAAGGGGAACTCCCAATGTTAGATTGCAACGTAAAGAGGAAAGAAGATGGGAAGTTAAACACTAGTGTTTACAGGAAACCCACACACTCAAACAGATATTTGGACTTCCAATCATCCCATCCTATGTCAGTAAAAGTAGGATTGGTGAAATGTTTAAATAACAGAGCACAAAAATTAAGTAGTACCAAAGAAAATCTAAACCAAGAACTGATACATATAAAAGAAGCCTTGAAACTTAATAATTACCCGGATAAATTAGTCAGGAAATATGTAAGGAAATGTAAAAATAAAATAAATAATGGTAATAGCGATAGTGATAATAACAATAATAATGATAATGATAATAGTGACAATAATAATAATATTGATAACGACACCAACAATAAAGAGTCTAAATCATCAGTAGTAATTCCATACAAAGAAGGAACCTCGGAAGCCTTACGCAGAATTCTAAACAAGGCAGGAATAAAAACGGCATTCAAACCCACAAACTCAATTAGAAACAAGCTTTGTCGGCTAAAGGATCCTGTAGAGCCTTTAAAACAAAGCAATTTAATTTATCTAATACCCTGCAATGATTGTCAGGTCAAATACATAGGTCAAACTAGTAGAACAGGGGCAGTCAGACTAGCTGAACATAAAAACTTAGCAAAATCTAGATTGGTTGACCCGAATAAAATAAGTAATCTAGAGAATAGTTCAGCTATAGCACTACATGCAGTCACACACAACCATACAATAGGATGGGATAGGATGACAGTTTTAAAATCTAATGTCACAGGGTATAGGAAGAGATTGATAACAGAAGCTTTGTTTATCGAATCAACTGCAAATACATGTAATAGGAATGATTCATCACCTGTCCCCGATATCTGGAAAATTCTACTCCCCCTACGACAAATAGGAGAAAACAAAGAAAGCTATAAAACTCAAGTGTCAAAGTCGTGTGATCACAATTGATATGATTATGAACAATAAATTTTGTTCGAAACGTCATCCAGTAAATAATACTGTTTCACTGTGTGATATACCTAATAAACAAACTAATATGGAATTACTTACTACCACAGTGCCCAAGTTTTACACATATATTAATATGACTTATGGTCTTCCTGTACGAAGACTTATCAATAAACTCACTCGACTTTCACAAACTGAAGCAAGATATGAAAATCACCGTATTTTCAACATTCGATGCCAAAAAAATGAAATCATTCCTAAATATCTACGTCTACGAGCTCCAGTTCCAACGGACAGAGTTAGAAGCAGAATAGAAGGCCTACAAAAATTATGCCTGAAAGAAGAAATCCACAGAATCGTTAAAAAGTTGCAACATATCAGATCTGAAATTGAGCAATTAAAACAAAAGATAAAAGGAATAGTTACCAGTACAGATTATGATCTTATAACGCAGTCCTCTAGCAGTGCCAAATCAGCAACTTTCAAAAAGTCAAAAAATAGTCAAATCAAAAAGTTCAACAAATTATTAGAAGAGAAATCTACATCTCAGAATGATGAAGTCAACAACAAAAAGTCAACGGCGATCGATAAATCAAAGTGGGTTATCAATCTCTCAACACATACATTAAGTCCTACGGAAATAAGTGTATTAGAAAAGGGACTAAATTTCAATGTATCTCTAGACAAGCTGAAACCTGAGGATGTCATCCCTAAAATAGAAATAGCACTAAGTGGGATAGACAAAACTACGGCTGATGAAGTACGGGCACAATGTGCACTAACATTAAAACGACAAAAATGTGGAAAGCCTAACCTGACAAAACAAGAGATAGAAGCCTTGAAACACCTTAAGAATAACAAGGATATAGTTATCACAAAGTCAGACAAAGGAAATGCAACAGTGGTATTAGACAAATCAGACTATTTGGACAAGGTAAATACTCACATACAAACAGGACCATATGAGGAAATTAATAAACCAATAGATACAGTTATGAATAAAGTTAAGAAATCCACAGCGGATCTTATACGCCGAATGAAGCCGTTTCTAGGTGAGTCTAAGTGGTTTAATTTAATGCCCAAAACTAATAATCCCAGTAGGATGTATGGTGTTGTTAAAGTTCATAAGTCAGGATACCCTATTAGGCCTATAGTTGATTTTAGAAATTCACCTACTTATGAATTATCTAAATATTTAGCCATGGTATTAAATCCCTTAAAAATCCACTCGAAATCTAGACTAACTAATTCTTATGAACTAAAACATAGATTAGATAATTTAAAATTAGATAATGAAGAAAAAATGGTTAGTTTTGATATTGTCAGTTTATACACACGTATACCAATAAATATGGCTATAGAGGCAGTCAGAAACGAACTCATTTCTGACCAAGACCTCGAACTTAGGACAAAAGTGCCACTTGAGGACATAATGCTGGGAGTACAACTATGCCTGACTTCCACAGTATTTAAATTCCAAGGGAAAATATACAAACAAACTGAGGGAGTTGCCATGGGATCACCAATATCCCCAGTGGTAGCAGATATATTCATGAATAAGTGGGAAAGCATAGCGATTGAAACGTTCACCCCCACCCCAAAAGTATGGTGGAGGTACGTAGATGACACATTCACTGTACTTAGAACACAAGATATAGATAGGTTTTTCGAACACATAAACTCGAAGGTTGAGGCAATTCAATTCACTTATGAATTGGAAAATCAGGAAGGGGAACTCCCAATGTTAGATTGCAACGTAAAGAGGAAAGAAGATGGGAAGTTAAACACTAGTGTTTACAGGAAACCCACACACTCAAACAGATATTTGGACTTCCAATCATCCCATCCTATGTCAGTAAAAGTAGGATTGGTGAAATGTTTAAATAACAGAGCACAAAAATTAAGTAGTACCAAAGAAAATCTAAACCAAGAACTGATACATATAAAAGAAGCCTTGAAACTTAATAATTACCCGGATAAATTAGTCAGGAAATATGTAAGGAAATGTAAAAATAAAATAAATAATGGTAATAGCGATAGTGATAATAACAATAATAATGATAATGATAATAGTGACAATAATAATAATATTGATAACGACACCAACAATAAAGAGTCTAAATCATCAGTAGTAATTCCATACAAAGAAGGAACCTCGGAAGCCTTACGCAGAATTCTAAACAAGGCAGGAATAAAAACGGCATTCAAACCCACAAACTCAATTAGAAACAAGCTTTGTCGGCTAAAGGATCCTGTAGAGCCTTTAAAACAAAGCAATTTAGTTTATCTAATACCCTGCAATGATTGTCAGGTCAAATACATAGGTCAAACTAGTAGAACAGGGGCAGTCAGACTAGCTGAACATAAAAACTTAGCAAAATCTAGATTGGTTGACCCGAATAAAATAAGTAATCTAGAGAATAGTTCAGCTATAGCACTACATGCAGTCACACACAACCATACAATAGGATGGGATAGGATGACAGTTTTAAAATCTAATGTCACAGGGTGATGGAGGAAGAGATTGATAACAGAAGCTTTGTTTATCGAATCAACTGCAAATACATGTAATAGGAATGATTCATCACCTGTCCCCGATATCTGGAAAATTCTACTCCCCCTACGACAAATAGGAGAAAACAAAGAAAGCTATAAAACTCAAGTGTCAAAGTCGTGTGATCACAATTGATATGATTATGAACAATAAATTTTGTTCGAAACGTCATCCAGTAAATAATACTGTTTCACTGTGTGATATACCTAATAAACAAACTAATATGGAATTACTTACTACCACAGTGCCCAAGTTTTACACATAGAACAATGCTCAAGTTAGTAAACTTTGTTATGATATCATAACAGATGTACTATTACCTTTGTTATTTGGTTTAGTAATCCTCATTGGTATTTTTACTTTCAATATGTCCCTTTAACTTAACCTGAGTCTATTTTCTCACCCCTTAACTCTTTGTTACATATATATATGGTGAGATTTTGTAAATTCCGGTTTAATAATACTACTTTGATAAAGCTATTAGCAGCGAATAGCGAAACGTCAGTGAGAACAACAATATCGTTTTGTTTTTCATTCACTGGGAAATGCACGAAAACCTTTATTTTAATGAATAATAACAACGCAGTTCAATAATTAACTTTCTGAAACTTACTCGGATTAGTTAACTCATTGAAAGAGCTTGTATCATATCCATGTGACGCATTAGGATAATACATATTCAATGACGCCGCGCTGCTTAAATTCGGGTGAATATAACCTGTTGGAATGGATCCATTTGGACTGTTACATTTACTCCGATCCATGTAATGTAATAAAATATCTTTTTCATATTGAGGTAAATAAGTTGTGTTGTTTTGTTCTACGGACAATGGACTGATATCTAAATTGTAGGTCATAGCGTTACTGACGTCTTCAAGTTTTACTTCCTCTTGTTGGGCATTTGTAGATTTAGATTTCATACGATACAGAATAGCGATAACGATTATGGTGATAATTAGAAGGAAAATTGTCGAGACAATACCAATTGTCGTAGGCCATAATAATGAATTACGCCTACTGAGAGATTCTGAAGGTTGTGATGATAAATGAAGGAGGTGATTGGCGCCTAATCCCCTTGAATCATATTCATCTGTGCTGAATTGATGGATTGATGCAGCAGAGGAGGATGAAGAATGCAAGGAGTATGAGGGTAAAGTATGGCTTCCCGATAGAGAATCAGGTAAGTCATTCACTGGTCTCTGATATATTTCCATAGGTAATATATTGAGGTATATAATAGAATTTGTGCTTAGAGGTTGAGGTTTCCCATGATCTTGAACTGTTATGAATAGGATATATCTAGGGAAAAAAATAGAACAACAGTGTGTAAGGATTTCCAATTAATAGTGTTCTCTGAGCTGGTTGGTTTAGTTGCGGAGCTTTCGTCGTCCTTCTAGACGACATTCACTTCAGCGCAATATTTAGCATAAAGTGAAATCATTTAAATTTCTTCATGAGTGATATAGTTGCGTCTCCTCGTAACTATCTTTGCATATGTATTGACCATTTTCTATTGACTTGGATTTTAAAATTTCTGGTCACCTGATTTACTTTTTATTAGTTGGTATATTTCGTCTATATTAACGTGTTTGTTAATTGCATTTTTTTTGAGTACCAGGGTTCTAGGAATTTCCCGGCACTTTTGGTGTGTAGGAATGGAGAGCGTTATTCAGTTTAATGCAGGCATAATATATTTTGGCGACGAACAAACGGTACGGAATGTTTTAACCACGTCCTTCACTTTTGAGCAAGTTTACTTTCTGTTACTACGGCAACAGGAGCTGTATGAATACTTCCAAGTGAAAGTGATCGAATCGCTTACGGGTAAATTATCATTGCAGTCATTTGGTCATTCTCATCTTGAGAGCATTGATTCTAGCATCCAGTCGGTCACAGAATTACAGAACAATTAATCAGTTGGTGGTGCATTATTTGCACACTTCGGTTTCAATGAATTCATGAAATATGATGTTAGAAATCAGATCGATAATCTGGATTCCAATAATGTATCAAAAACGAATGAAGACACTATTTATCCAAAAGAAGGAGATATGATCAATTTTTCATGTTTCAGAGGAAAAGAAAAGAATTCCCCCCCTCCAGTCTCCACTACGTATCATGTTGCTGAAAATGCTTCTGGAGATATTTTGAACTCATTTCATTTCAAAGAAAATGTTATGTTACCTTACTAATCGTGGTCATGATTTGGATCTGTGCGGCATTGATTCGAGTGATAAACCATTCGAAATCAGTATAAAACTTGGGCACTGTGGTTGAGTATATCTCCATTATAGACAAGATTTTTTTTCTGATAAAATCACACAGTGTTATACAGTAATATTAACTCACGACGTTTCAAAAACAAATCATTGTAAGTCATAATCATATCAAGTCACTAAGCCTATAAACTCTCTCAGAGACAAGCTTTGTAGGCTAAAAGACCCTGTAGGTTGACTCAATTAGACAAAATATTATAATTTACAAAATACCCCGCAATGACTGTGAGTGAGGTCAGCTCTACATAGGTCAAACTAGTAGATCAGGCGTAGTCGGATTATCAGAACATAAGAATTTAGTTAAGGTAAGAATGGTTGACCCCATGAAGATAAGTAATTTCGAAAAAAGCTCAGTAATTGCACTGCATGCATTAACACACAATCACATATTAGGGTGGGTTGGACACAGTCAAAATTCTAAGAAGTAATACAGATAGGTGTAGTGAGACGTTGATTACTGAATCCTTGTTCATCGAGTCTACACCCAACACACGCAACAGAAATGACTCAACGCAAATACCAGAGATATGGAAGATAGTATTATCACCGGTCAGTCAAATCAGAGGAGGATAATAAATAATCTCAAAATCCTATTTCAATTCACGTACATCATTACCTTCTTACAAGTTACTTATTTTGACTATAAAAACGCTTATCTTAATTCCCATCTAATTGTATTTGATCAATAACACTCACATTATTATTATTATTTCTGTATGTACATTATCTCATAGTGATTTTTATTTAAATACCTAATCATCGATTCCACACATGTATATAAATGAAGCAAGAAAGTTGTGTGAGTGAGTAACTTGATATGAGTATGAGTGGCAATAATTTGTGCTCAAAAGGTGGTCATCAGTAAATATTACTGTATTACACCACTGTGTGATTTTATCAAAATAAAATCTTATCTATAATGGAGTGATAAAATATTCTTTTGGTAAGCACTGTTTTGTGGCATTGATTTCTATGAGACGATGCAATTACTTGCAAACCTTTTTCGAGAACATGCATCATTATCCATGGGACAATGTAATGACTTTCTTACTTTTGCTGGTAAAGTTAACCGTGAAATAAGTGAGAATCCCACACTTTTTCTACCTGGGAGAAGGTTTCATAGACGGAGAGTACTCAGACCCACAGTGGTCTCGCAACAGCAACTATACTCACTGACCATCAAGTTATGATTGATGTAGGGGCTGACATCATATGCTGATTGGACACATTTCGACTGATTTTTTTCTGCAGGTCTTCATGTTAATAGTCATAGATATTGATTATCTGTGTATGGTTTACGTTTCCGTTGATGTGTTAACGATCTACACTCGGTATTGTCGTCATGGTCATCGAAGATAAATCTGACTTTTGTATCTATCACAGTGTAGCGGAAGCTTTTCAATTGATCGGTTGTCTAGAGGTTTATAACTAAACGAGACCATATTTTATAATTACAAACTGTGATACCAGAAGGGGGAATGTCTTGTGTGAACACTATTCACGTTTTAATTTAATAGTTCTGCACCGTGAGCGTTTGAAATAGGAATATACACGAATGAGTCTGAAGCTACCGTTCTTCTTGTAGTAAACAGGAGTTTCATAGCAACTATCGAACTGTACTTCGAAGATGATTGTATCTATTAGTATAGTACAAATAAGCCATTTCACGATGGTCTGAACTCAGTTTGTGTTTCCTATTTGTGGACGCATAATTCAACGCTTATTTCACAGTGACAAGATAGGCCAAAACCATAGGAAAGAATAGTCATGATCGATTGGTTGGCACAATCTGGTTTTCCTTATGGTACCCTATTAAAGGCCTCTTATTTCAAATGCTGAAATTAATATTCAAAACCATCGACAGGTCTGCAGTTATTCCAAAAGTTCGACAAACTGGTTTGACAAACGAAAAGTTGATTCCATTTGTCTCTTTCAATTCTGATGAGGTTTCAGTAAACGATGGTTCTCATAAAAGAGAATGTTTGTGTGCAACTTTTAGAACCTTATATCAGTGCCGGTGAACACTGGATCATATATTTATTCCAATTAGTCCCCATTTGGCAGCAGATAAGAAGGCTATCGTTGCTTAACCGTATACTGGTTGGCAGAAGACTGAAGAAATGCTATCAGAAGTATACTTATTCATTCTGTTAACGCTTATTTAAAGACTTTGCTGATTGTAAACTGTATTTCTGCCTTGGTATCTGTGGAAGAATCAACAATCGTACTGCGTGGCAGTTTTCTATTGTTCCACATTAATTGTTGTGCTTAGTATTCCGCACAATAGGCGTAGTATTCTGAAACCAGCGATAGGGCTAGGATCTTTGCGATCCAGATATTTGATTCCTTGTGTCTGTTTATTCAACATGTCAGCTGTGATATGTTCACCACTATTCCACATATAACTCAAAACAATTGATTCTTATATCAGTGCATTATATCTTGAAAAAGGAACTATCTCTTTCTGTGGCAGCTCCCTTTCCAAGCGGTTCATACAAGTTTAAATTAGCTTCATAGGAAGATGTTTTATTCAACGAAAAGTCAGCAATCGTTTCCTCAAAATCTGATGTATCTAAAGCGATACTCAGTTGAGATGTATAACCCTAGGTGATGCTAAGTCAATTAATAAGTTTGTTTAGCTACGTCGATTTGGATGGCTTGGACACGTGCTGTGAATGCTAAGCCATCGACTTCGTCGTCCACTAATATTTGCAGACATTAGATTGGATTGGATTGGGAAAGTGTTAGAGGCAGGGAAGTCTTTGGCAGTTTAGTTCAGCCAACCACGTAAGCAAATGCAGAGTGATTGGTTAGGATCATCGAGATGCTAAAGCCAATGATTGCGGACCGTTAGTGATCTAGTGCAAAATCTTTCCTAGGAGAGGATGGGGCGCAGATGCAATCACTTAATGTATTATACCATATTAATTGAACCAGCGTGTTTCTACCACTGAACTATTCTTTATTATTATTATTGTTTCCTTTAATTCCTAGAGGAACGTAGGGCTTCAGCTGTACGTCTCCATTGCGTTCGGTACTCTGCTATAGTTTCCACCTGGCTCCAAGTCTGGCCACACGTTTTCATCTCCTCCTCACATGACCTCCTCAAAGTCACCCACCCTCGCACTGACGACCAACTCGCCGCTTCCCTTTCGGGTTCCACTCGAGCGATGGCTTGTCTAGTTATGTCACTTGATGGTTTCCTTAGAGTATGGTCACTCCACCTCCATTTCTTGGTGCTCATTTGTTGCACAATCGGTTCCTGCTGTGTTGGTTTGCTCCCAGAGATCTCTGTTGCTGATCTTTTCTGGCCATCTGATCTTGAGTAATGAGGGAAGACAGTTGTTGATTGATGAAGGTCTGTAGTTTGTTTGAGATGCTCTTCATGACGCGCTGGCCACGTCTCTGATCCATATAGCGAGTAGCACTGACTTCACATTGCAGTTGAAAATCCGGATCTTATTTTTCATGCTGAGTACTGTTGACCTCCACACAGACTTGAGAGTAGTGAAAGCCTGTCTTGCTTTTCCGATTCTTGCTTTGATATCCTCGTCATTTCCGGCCGCCTATAGTTGAAACGATGCTTCCCAGGTAGGTAAGAGAGGTTGTTTCTTTCAGGTTCCTCCCATTTATGCTGATTGTTGTCTGTTGTTGTTGTTGCCGTTGGTGGTGTTGCCCAGGAATCTTCATCACCTCTGTTTTATCTATGTTCACCTGAAGTCCTATCTTTGATGCTTCTTCTTCCCCTATTCTTTATCTCTCACATTTCTGCATTTGGTGCTGTTCTGTGTGAAGTTCTACACTGAAAACCACTTAGTCGGTTAGTATATGAAGGAAAACTAAACTTTTGTCTTCTACTTGACTAAGATATTTCAACGCTGTACAAGTAACTGACTGGAGAGTCGTCATATCCTATGAACAAGTGTCTTAGATATCTGAAAGCAAATCCTCAGTTTTATCCTCATGAAGTTTAAGATGAAATAGTTCTGATGTGTGTCATTCTAATTACAATATAAAATTATT